CCAATTAAAAACATGGCTGTTTATTCAGGCCTTCCCTCCAGCCAACTCTTGATTTTTTCTTACTTTTCCTTTTTATCTTTACTGCTGTTCTTGTTTGATTATTATGTATTTGTCTATGTTTTATTATTTGATTTTATATTTGGAAGCCGCCTAGAGTGGTCCGGTGGGCCAGATAGGCGGGGTATAAATTAAACAAACAAACAAACAAACAAACAAACAAACAAACAAACAAACAAATAAATAAATAAATAAATAAATATTACAAGTGTATGTAACTGCTGGGACGCTCAGCTCTTTAGGTACCTGGCTGCAGAGCCAGACTGGAAGTTCAGTTCCCAATTGTGACTGCTTGACTCTTATGATCCATAGGGTCTCTTCCAGCTCTGCAGTCCTAAGATGATGATTAAATAAAATTAAGGTATACCACTGGTGGCTATCCATTTAGTTTTCCTAGCTACTTGATGTTGAGAGAGTTAACTGCCACGAATTGAGCTGATCCCCACCTCTTAACTGGTAGTAAAAGGGAGTGGAGCAAAATTTCCGAGCAACCCTAGCCAGTTTATCAATCTTTCCCATGTCCCCAAACCTGGGTAGAATTGTAGTGTAGCGCCTATGGTTCTTAACCTTTGTTACTTGGATGTTTTTGAACTGCAACTCCCAGAAACCCCAGCCATCACAGTTGGTGGTGAAGGCTTCTGGGAGTTGCAGTCCACAACTCCTGAGTAAGCCAACGTTGAGAACCGGTGGCGTAGAGCACTGGTTCTTAACCTTGGGTTACTCAGGAGTTGTGGACTGCAACTCCCAGAAGCCTTCACCACCAACTGTGATGGCTGGGGTTTCTGGGAGTTGCAGTTCAAAAACATCCAAGTAACAAAGGTTAAGAACCACTGGTGTAGAGGTTAGAGTATTGGACCGAGATCTGGGAGATGGGGAACTAGGAAGATGGTCTTGAGGACAAAGAAGAGAGAGAATATTATAGTGGATTATTTGAATATTAATATAACAGGGGCATTAAATAAAATGAAGGTATTCTGCTGGTGCATATCCAGCTAGCTGTTCTGGATCCTTGCTGTTGTGTGTGTTAACTGCCAAGAGTTGAGCTTATCTCTTAACTGGCAGTAAGTGGGAATGGAGTGAAAATTTTGAATCTTTCCTTGAAAGGATTTGTGTCAAGACTGAGATCTTTATCTTGGTTTCCTGACAGCTGTGTGTTAAATTGTGTTTGTGCAGTTTAATATCAAAGTGATGTAACGCCAGGTAGTGTTCTGTTGGCTTTTGTTCATTCATGTTGTAAAAAACTGGGCAATGCAACACAGTTGCTGTTCAATATTTAGGATAGGTTCTTTTCCCACTAAAAATTAAATAGAGTGATGTCTTTTTATGCTACTTTTACTTGCTGTTATTTATGCAGTTCTCTTAGGTTCCTTGACAGCTGGGGTGGGCAATCTTAGGCCTGTCAAATGTTTTGGACTTCAAATCCCAGCATGCATGGCCAATGTTAAAGGGTTATGGGAATTGAAGTCTAAAACATCCAGAGAGCCAATGATTCCCTCTCCCTGATATCCTTAAATGTCAGTTGCAGATCCTTATCTGAACAAAATTACTTTGAAAGGTTTGAACAATCAGAGACATCAAAGGCAGAAAAGGTGTGCAATAAAAGCCATGTTAAGATAAATTTGTAAACATAAGCTGAACCATGTTGTCCTTCCTTTGGATCCTTCACTCATCTATTTTAGAAGAATCCTGTTCTCTGGGTTCTATAACTGTTATCTTTAATAACATAATTACGAAGGCAAGAAGGGAGACGGTTAAACATCTTCATTCTAGCACTGTACCAGCCAGTTAACACATGCAGTGAGACAGGACTTCATTGCCACAGTTCAAAATGCTGTGTCTGCAGACATGTTCTTACCAAATTCCGTAGTCTAGTGATGTACACAGTGTCCTGCAGAGTGTGGCAGCTGTTTGAAGAAACCTTCTATGCCAGGTGCTAGACAGTGGACCAGGTCTTGGGTTTTGATAAATCCTGTTCTGTGGCTGTGGCAGTTACTCAGAAGTGATCCAGCAAAAAGGAGGAGGGTAAGAAAAGGAATGGGTTTTAGCAGAATGTTTGTCAACCTCAGACGGCGATCTAATAGACAAAATGAGATCAAGGTTGAAACATGAAGTAAGGGAATAGACTTAAAATCCATTCATCTCATGGATGGGAAACTGTTCTTCCAGATGTTCTTGGACTGCAAGCTAACATTGGTTTCAAATGAAGCAAACTTTGACCCTTCTCTTTTGTGTTACAAAATATTAGATATTACGGCAGCAGTCACCAACCTCCTGGATAAATACGAATTGGGCTTAAAGATTAGGAAGGTCAAAAAACTCCTGCGGACTAGGGATGGAATAGATCTGCAGAAAATCAGCATCAGCCAAGGTTACACGGACACACTGGAGTTCTTGGAGGCCAAGATGCCGGAGCTAAACATCCAGTACCAGGGGAAACGGCTCAATTGTGTTGTACAGCTTCCTGCAGGTACAAGGGCAGGGTTGAGAAGTGATATTTTTCTGCAGAATTTTTTTTTTGAGAAAGCAAAAGTGCTTGTCACTCTAGAACTGTAGGGATGAACACAAGACGAGTTCTGCTGAATTCCAATAAAGACCATCTAGTCCAACATTTAATTTCACAGTGTAACCAATTAGACATCTCCATTATAGATAAGAATGCAGTAACCCCCACCTGGGGACTTTGTCAAATCAGGAAGTAAACAAATATTCTAAATCAATGAATAGGTAACTGAGTAACTGGAACCGAGCGTGTTGTACTGGACAGAGCGTTGGAGTAGGACTCTGGAGACCAGTGTTCAAATCCTTTGCTTAGGAGTGGAAACTCATTTTGCAGTGGAACTGGTAGAGCCACTCCTTAAAATACCGAACCTCAATTACTTGAAAGCCCTATTGGACTGCAGCTCCCAGAAAACGCAACCAGCACAGCTGGTGGCAAGGCTTCTGTGAATTGTAGTTAAAGCTGCTTTTCCACCCATGTTGTAATGGGTTGGGTGATCCAACTCAGTTGTTCTTAAAGTTTCAGGATCGATTCTTCTCCCACTAGAGCCTCGTGGCGCAGTGGTTAAACCACTGTACTGCAGCTAAAACTGTGCTCACAGCCTGGGGTTCAAATCCCAGGTAGCCGGCTCAAGGTTGACTCCGCCTTCTATCTTTCTGAGGTTGGTAAAATGAGTACCCAGCTTGCTGGGGGGGGGGGGCAATGTGTAGCCTGCATAATTAAATTGTAAACCGCCCAGAGAGGGCTTGAAGTGCTATAGGGCGGTATATAAGCAGCACGCTTTGCTTTAAATGCTGTGTTGTCCCCTTTAGCTGCCTTTTCTCACTTTTACCTCAGCAGTGCTCTCAAGTTGGTAGCCAGGGTGGGCCATTTCAGGCCTGTCAGATTGTCCCTCCCTGAACAAACAGAGACTGCAGGGTCAGGAAGGGTGTGCAATAAACATCATGTTAAGATAGTTTTGTAAATAGAAGCTGAACCGAATTGCCCTTCTGTAGGATCCTTCATTGGTCTGTTTTAGAATAATCCTGTCCTCTAGATTCTACAACTGTTATCTGGGAGATAACATATTATTGTGAGAGCAACTGAAGACAGGGGAAGGTTAAAGATTTTCATTCTAGCACTGCATCAGCCAGGTAACACATGCAGTGTGACAGTAATTCATTTTTCCAGTTCACATGCTCTCTCTGTAGCCATATTCTTTACCAAATCCTTTGTTGGGTGTCATGCATGTTGTGCCGTGCAGCGCTAGTGTGCCAATTGTTTGAAGCAAGTCTTTCCTCCATCCACCGCCTGATTTGTTCTCTGTGCTTTTTTCTCATCTGGATTATTGTGGTTTCTTTTTCTTTTTTAGTAGAACGTTGTTATGATTTTAAATTCTATTTGGATTTGATATGTTGTTACCTGCCCAGAGTAGTCGGCATGACTAGATTGGCAGGTTATAAATGTAACAAATAAATATAAATAAATAAGTAGCCTTCTGTGCCAGGGGTTGGATAGTGGGTGAGGTCTTGGGGTGTGATAAATCCTCTCCTATGGCATGATACTCAGAACTGATCCAGTGAGTAGAAAAAGGGTAAAAAATAAGCTTTAGTAGAATATATATCAGCCTCAGATGAAGATATACTGGACAAAATAGGATAAAGATTCAAACAAAAACTAAGGGAATAGACTTAAAACCAGTTCATATCCTAGGTGGACAGCTGTGTCTTTCCAGATGCTCCTATACTGCAAGTTTCATCAGCCTGAGCTATTATAGTTGGGGCATTCTAGTTCTGAAGCAAATACTGACCTGTGATTTACATTATACAGTAGATCCGGTAGATCCGGTAGATCTGTCTGACATCGTGACGGCAGTCACCAACCTCCTTGTCAAATACAAGTCGGGCTTAAAGATTAAGAAGATCCAGGAATTCCTGCTGGCTGAGGATGGAATTGATCTGGAGAAAATCAGCATTAGCCGTGGCTATAAAACCATGTGGAAGTTCTTGAAGGCTCAGATGCCGGATCTTATCCTCCAGCACCAGGGGAGCCTGCTCAAATGTATTGTACAGCTTCCTGCAGGTACAGGGGTGGGGTTGAAAAGTGATATTTTCTGCAGAAATGAGGTTTAAAAAGTAGAAGCTGAAGACAGAGAATATTCCATTGGAACAGTTATTTCTACCCTTGGGTATACCTGGATTACCCAAGGTTAGGAAGCAATATAGTAGAATATGAGAATATTAATACAACAAATACATTGAACAACTGGATAGATTAGTAGTTTAGGTATCTGGCTGCAGAGGTTGGAAGTTCAATTCCCCACTGTGATTCCTTGGGAGGGACTGGATCCAGTGATCCATTGGGTCCCTTCCAGCTCTGCAGTTCTATGTTGCTAGTGTTGATGCCTTCCTGTTAATATTACTGTGGGGTGGTATATATGCAGGACACTTTTACACTGTGAAGAGTTGAACTGATCCTTAATTCTTAATTGGTAGTACAGTGGTGCCTCGCATAGCGAGGTTAATCCGTTCCGGATTAACCCTCGCTGTATGAAAGCATCGCTGTACGGATCAAAAAAAGCCATTGGAACGCATTAAACAGCATTTAATGCGTTCCAAATGGTCAAAAATTCACCATACAGCGATGCTTTTACGGGTCCGGCAGCCATTTTCGCACCCTCGGTAACTTTTACCTCACCAGTGCTCTCAAGTTGGTAGCCAGGGTGGGCCATTTCAGGGCGCGAAAATGCTGTGCGCGCCCATTTTGGCTGTTCCGGCGGCCATTTTGGACCCGCCAAACAGCTGATCGGTGGGTCGCAAAGCGAAGGTCGGTAAGTGAACCACTTACCGACCTTCGCTCTGCGATTTTCGCCCTATGTGGGCACCGTTTTGCGATCGCATTTGCGATTGCAAAACCAGCCTCGTAGAGCGCGTTCATCGCTCTACGAGGCACCCGTTGTGCGAGGCACCACTGTAAATGGGAGTGGAGTGAATATTCCAAATTTTTCCTTGTAAGGATTTTTGTCAAGACCTATGATCCCTCTAAGCCGTACCGCCATGCAGCATTGAATTGGGGCCTTGTAGCACTGGATCAGGGCTGCCAAATTGCTTCTGGTCACAGCTAATATTCCATGTGCATGGGGTGGGTTCCCCACCCAGCACTCTGCAATATTAGAAGGACTGTTGGTCAAGACTGATTATCATCTTAGTTTCTTGAAAGCTGTGTTAGAGAGAGCATGCTCAAACAGTTTAAAATCAAAGCGATGCAACCCCAGACAATATTGTGTTGGCTTTCTCCATCCATGTTTTAAAGAATAGGGCTATCTTACAACAGATGGTCTTAAAGTTTCAGGATTGGTTCCTGTCTCACTAGAAATTAAATAGAAAGGTGTCTTCTTATGCTGCCTTTACTTGCTGTTGCTTATGCCATGTTCTCAGGTTCCTTGACTGCTGGGGTGGGCAATCTTAAGCCTAAAAGTCATGATAAGATAAGTTTGTAAACTGAAACTGAACTGTGTTGCTCTTCTTGAGCATATTATGGTTTCGGATTCTGACACAAAACCAAGAAATTTGAGAACTGAGCCCAGGTATCAGTCTGCTTACTGACTGTTATTCTGTGGTGTTATTCTGAATCAGAGGGTGGCTTTGAGCCCTGTGCTGAGCCACTAAGAGCAGGCTTCATGTCTCGAAATTTAGTTCCCCATTTATAGTTGACATTAGAGATGGGCAGAAACCATTGGTTTGAAGGTTCCTGTCAATTTATCCTTTGGATGAACAGGAGTTGACCGTTTCTCAGCCTCGCCTCCTCTAGCTTGCAGTCACTCAGAGGTAGTGCCCTGGCTTCCCTTTCCTGCCTCCTTTGGGCACTGCCTCTGAGTGGGTGCCTGCTAGAGGAGGCAGGGCTGGGAAGTGCCAAAGCCTTTTTGTCCGAAGACCAAATCAGCACGAACCATTGAATTGGAGGTTCACACCCATTTCTAGTTGACGTCCATGTGTCTGATGGATTTAGACAAAATGATGATTCTTGTTTGCTTTGATGAAATTGTTTTCTTCTTCTTGTACAGATAGCTCTGTAACTTCTGCCACTTCCAGTATCCAGAACTGTGTGGAAGGACCCACAGGCCGGCCACCAGGTAAGACAATGTAATCCTCTGAATCATGCTGCTCATTTATGACATTCACAAAAGTCATTGAGTGGCATTCCTCACTTCCAGTCTGCAGAGCGGAGACTGATCAGTTTTAAATGCCATTTGAAAACACGGCTAGATAGGAATGCATGTCTTACTTTGCATCTTTGAGTTTTTATTATCATTTGTGGCCTAGAAGGCTATCATATTAAGGAGTAAATAACATTAAAAATCGTTTGGCAGGTAACTAAATAATTGGGGCTGGTTACAGAGAGGAGCCCCTTCATTGATTGCTGCCTTGTCATGGCGAAGGGGCTTGAGTAATTCAGAGAAGCTATGGGCTATGCCGTGCAGGAACGCCCAAGACAGACGGGTGATAGTGGAGAGTTTGGACTGAACGCGATCCATCTGGAGCAGGAATTGGCAAGCCACTGCCAAGAAAACCCCATGAACAGAAACAAAAAGGCTAAAAGATATGATGCTGGAAGATGAGCCCCTCAAGCCGGAAGGCGTCCAGCATGCTACTGAGGAAGAGCGGAGGACAAGTACAAGTAGCTCCAGAGCTAATGAAGTGGTTGGGCCAAAGCTGAAAGGACGCTCAGCTGTGGACGCGCCTGGAAGTGAAAGGAAAATCCGATGCTGCAAAAGAAAATACGGCATAGGAACCTGGAATGTAAGATCTATGAACCTTGGTAAGCTGAATGTGGTCAAACAGGAGATGGCAAGAATAAACCTTGATGTCCTTGGCATCCTAAAATGGATGGGAATTCAGACAATTATCATAGCTACTACTATGGGCAAGAATCCCG